GGGACAACTGTAATATTTTCAACAATAAAGATAAATTTAAAAAATAAATAAAACAGAATCTGTATTTTTTTTAANATTTAAAAAATAAATAAAATAGAATCTGTATTTTTTTTTTTAAAAAAGATTGTAATTTCTAGGGTAACCACTAAAAGAACAAAAATAGAGTATGTAATTTCCAAGTTAGTTGAAGAAAAACCTGGAATAGTCTAAAAGAATAAACCCAAAAGAGGCAAGAAAGAAGAGGGGAAAAAAGATGAAATAGTTAAAATAACAAAATAAGACAATAGATTTAAACCTAAATATATCTGGGCATTAATTTCATAACTATGTATTAATTTTTATCCTACACTAAATTAACACAATTTTATTTTTATACTAAAAATGAATAAAACAAAATCACTGAAATTCTATATGTACTTTAATTATAAAACAATGAAATTATCACATCAATTTAAAATTTTTAAGTAGCCCAGCATGTCTCAGTGGTTGAGCGTCAACCTAGGATCCAGGCAATCAGGGTTCGATTCCCGGTCAGGGGCATGGAGGAGGCAGCCAATCAATGACTCTCTCATCATTGATGTTTCTATCTCTCTCTCTCCCTCTCCTTTCCTCTCTATGAAATCAATAAAGATATATTTTAAAAATAATAAAAACAAAAATTTTAAGTAACTTAAATACAATAATGTACAATGACTTGGAAAACATTATAACTCAAAATAATAGAAAAACAAAATTAACTAAACGAAGTGCTGTTTGAATTCCAGGGATTCCTGTGCCAGAACACAAATTTTAAAATTTTATATATTAATTTTCAGGGTTAGCATTAAGGTTAGGGTTAGGGTTCGGGATTGGGTTATGGATAAGGTTAGGGTTAGGGTTTAAGGAAAATTAAAATAATAATAATAAATTACATTTACTTAGCAAAAAATTACTTAAATCATATTAACCTTTTGAACAGCTTGTCATGCCATGTTTTAATTGCAGCTTCTTCTAAAGAATCATTTTACTTACACTTGCAAGTGTTTCTTTAACGTCTACTATTGGAATCAAATTCCTGAAGGAGCTGGAATACTAAGAACACACCCAGGGTTAGGGTTGAGGTTAGGGTGAGGGTTAAGGATGGGGTTAGAGCTACAGTTAGGGTTAGGTCTAAGGTTAGGGTTAGGGATAGGGCTTGCATTAGGATTAGTTTTAGGCCTAGGGTTAGGTTTAGGTTTACGGTTAGAGTTAGGTTTAGGGGAAAGGTTAGGATTAGGGTTAGTGCTAGGGTTAGGGTTATTGTTAGGACTACGGTTAGGGTTAGGGCTAGGGTTACGGTTAGAGCTAGGGTTAGGGCTACTGTTACGGTTAACAATAATGCTAGGGTTAGGACTGGGTTTAGGTTTAGGGCTGATGTTAGGGTTAGGACTAGTGTTAGGGTTAGAGTTAGGTTGAGGGTTAGGGTTAGGGCTAGGGTTAGGGCTAAGTTTAGGGTTAGAATTAGGGTTAGGGCTAGAACTAAAGTTAGGGTTAGGAATAGGGTTAAGGTTAGTGTTAGAGCTAAGTTTAGGGTTAGGGTTAGGGCTAGAGCTAGGGTTAAAGGCCAGGGTTGGGTTAGGGTTAGAGCTAAGGTTAGGGTTAGGTTTAGGGCTAGGGTTAGTATTAGGGTTAGGTCTAAGGTTAGGGCTAGGGTTAGGGCCAGGGCTGGGGTTAGGACTAGGGTGAAGCCTAAGGTTAGGGTTAGAGCTAAGGTTAGAGTTAGGGCTACTGCTAGAGCTAAGGTTAGGGGTAGGGGTAGGTTTAGGGTTAGGATTAGGGCTCAGGTTAGGGTTAGGACTAAGCTTAGGGTTAGAGTTAAGGCTGGGGTTAGAGCTACAGTTAGGGTTAGGCCTAAGGTTAGGGTTAGGGTTAGGGTTAGGGTTAGAATTAGGTTTAGGGCAAAGTTTAGGATTAGGGATAGGGTTAGGGTTATTGTTAGGACTCAAGTTAAGGCTAGGGTTAGGGCAAACGTTAGGGTTAGGTTTGGGCTTGGGTTAGGGTTAGAGTTAGCTGTAGGGTTAGAGCTAAAGTTAGGGCTATGGTTATGGCAAGGGTTAGGACAACATTTAAGGTTAGGGTTAGGGCTAGGTTTAGGTCTAGAGTTAGGGTTGGGGTTGGGGTAAGGTTCGTTTTTGTGTTATGGTTAGGGCTAGGTCTACGATTTGGACTAGGGCTAGTGTTAGGGTTAGGGTTATGACTAGTGGTAGGGCAAGGTTAGGTTTAGGGCGAGGGTTAAGTTTTGGATTAGGCATAGGACTTTCGTTAGGGTTAGGGTTAGGAGTAATGGTAGGGCAGGGTTAGGGTTAGGGCTAGGATTTGGGCTAGGGTCATAGTTAAAAAAAAGAATAAATAAATAAAACATGTTTTCTTAGCAAAATGTTTCTTTAATGATATTTTCCTTTTGAACAGCTTGTCATGTTTTAATTGGAGCTTCCTGTAAAGAATCATTTTATTTCCACTTGCAAGTTTTTTTAACATGTTCTATTGGAATCAAATTCCTGAAGGAGTTGGGATATTATGAATACAGCCAGGACAACAGTGGAGATAGTCATGAACAAAAACGTCACAGTCCACACAGAAAACATTTTGGCACACAGTGCAAACACAGACCTGCAGTGAAGAGAAAAGAAAATTTAAAAAGCAGTTTTCAAACGTTAAACAGATTATACGTAGAAGACACTAAAATTGCTTTGCTCGTTTATATTTCTTATCAATTTTTCCCCACCTACATTATTATTTCCAATGTACTATGTGTTCTCTAAGGTGATTATTTTTTCCAAAAAAAATTCCTTAGAAGTGAAGGAATAACTTTGCGTCCTTAAAGTCTCTTCTATCATTGGACACTCTCAATATTTCATTTTAAGTAACTATTTGGGGAAGACACATAAGCTTGTATTTAGGGATAGTTTTGAATGCTTAGAGAGGTCATCTGACTGATTCAATTAAAAAGAGAAGCACTGTGGGGGTGGGAGGGTGGAGGTGGAAGAGGGTACAGGAGCAATAAATTGTGATCAAAAAATAAAATAAAGAATTAATTAAATTTTTTAAAAGGAGAAGCACAACAATTAACAGATTGTTATTCCTAGCAAATAACCTCACAATTGCAAAAGTTATATTACCCTTTTAATTAAGCCCCTAAAGAATATGGCAAAGGTCACATGTAAGACAAAGAAAAAGGAGAGAACTCATTATTCTATTAGTAATAATTAGCACAGAGAGACTTGTGCTTGGGGTAAAACTTCCAGAGCAGCATCATACACAGATTCAAAAATTATTAAATCTTAAGCAGCATAGAAGTAAAGATGATATGTTCTTAAAAACTGTCAAATAATTCAAAAAGTGATTCCAGTGAGGATGAAGCTCCTGGCATCAAAGAGGCATGGAAAAATTAATGGAAGTGTTTTATGAAACTTGAGAGTAAACAAGAAATCCTTCCCACTAACATGTTATATAGTTTATAATGTAAAGTTTTAAATATTGACATGTAACTAAATTAAGAAAAAGTTAAAACTAGACAGTTACCTTACTTGTGTCTATATAAGTTTATACATTCAAATTGAACCCTTTCAAAAAATTTTAAAATATTTTCTCATCGGCAAACCTTTGGTTTGTGGCCACCTTAAGTGGTAACTTCACTTCAGAATGGGTTATGAAAGAACTTAAAGCACAATATGGAGAAACAATGTTTACCACTTCCAAACTAAATGAGGTTTAGCTTGCAAACTAAAGACTGTTTAAAGTACTAAAATATCTTTGTAGCAAAATTAGAATGCAGAATTACAAAACAACTGTTTAAACTACTGTGCTCCCATTTTATCTCTATCTACTGTTATTAAACTGAGAAATAACCTGATAGAAGTCTGGTCATCAATAATCTACTGAAAACTTTTAATATTTCTTGCACAATATTTATTATTTAGAGAGCCATGAACTTACATGTTGGTCTTTCAATTCCCCCTGACATCCATAACAAAATCTGAAAAAGTTTAAGAATCATTTTGTTTAGGATTAACTCATTAAAATAGCTCAGCAAAAGCTCAGTAACAAAATCCTTTAATTAATAAGTAATCTTACTTACAATTAATTTACACATGACTTTTAGGCGAAAGAGCTAAGAATACCAGTAATTTAAGAAAATTCCACAGTAAGTCCAAAGTCACCTACCAGCTCCAAATTTTACTTTAAAAAAAAAATTTATTTTCTTCAAGGAGGAAGTTGATCCTAGTGATTTTAGCACATGCATTAAACAGGAAACAATAGTGATGTGTAGAATTCACTGTTTTCTAAACGGAATTTTAAAACTACTGCAACATGTTATCTACAAAACTCGCTTACGTCATGTGAACAGAATCACAAGTTTGGTTTTGGTACTTTTATTCCTCTTTGTCTTCAGTTGTACAGTCCTTCTAAATTCAAAATGAGGAGAAAATCTGTTCTATACCAAATTATCTAAGTAATAAATGTTATATTTTGAAAATGTCGAATAAAATATTAATTTTATTTTCGTCAAGGTTGAACATGAGCATGCTTTCTCAGCTGGGATTATACAGGGAATTAAACCCTACAGAAAATAATGAGTAACTATTTTTCACCTCTCCCAGAGATAATGGACAGGTATAATTCTAGAGGAACAGGAGAGAACTTAATTTGTTGCATAGAATAAATGCTTACAGGCTTAATTTTCAAGGAATCATTCTCAAAACTTATTACAAAAAAATAACAGTTCCCTGCCTATTCACCCCCACACTTCCAGTTCCCCAGAGCAAACACTTTCAAAACTTTTGTCTGATAGTTAATTATGCTTATAGTGCTCTCTTGTTTTTTTCATAGGCACTGGCTATGAACTGCTAAGATTCTTTTCCAACCCTCTTGAACCAATAACATGTACATGCATAACTAATGTCATTCTCAATTCTATGTCGTTAAATCATTTTAGATAAAAGAATAGTAAAGATTTAGGCAGTGCCCTCGGCGGTCCCAGATCTGTCTCTTGCTTCAACAGTGTTTGAATGGAACAGACCCAGGGACGCACTTTCTTCCAGGACATGATGAAGCCTTTCCAGGATGAGTGGGGCAAAACCCAGATGCCATGGAAGCCACCATGGCCTTGGACAGGAACCTGAACCAAGCACTTTTGGATCTGCATGCCCTGGGTTCTACCTGCGCAGACACTCATCTGTGGGACTCCAGGAGAACCGCTTCCTGGGGGAGGAGGTGAAACTCATCAAAAAATGGGTGACCACCTGACTTACCTCCGCAGGCTGGCGGCCCCCCAGGCTGGGTTGGGCGAGTATCTCTTTGAAAGGCTCACCCTCAAGCACGACTAGGAGCACTGGAGCCCAGAGGCCTTTGAGGGGTCCCCTCTGCATTCTCCTGGTGTCTGGCTTTTACCTGAGCCTCTCCCCAAAACCCTTGGCCATTCTTTTAACCACCCTGGAGCCCTCTCCCATGCACCGGACCAAATGGAAACAATACAGTTTTTGCAGCNCCAAAACCCTTGGCCATTCTTTTAACCACCCTGGAGCCCTCTCCCATGCACTGGACCAAATGGAAACAATACAGTTTTTGCAGCAAAAAAAAAAAAATTTTAGTTTATTATGACTTTATAAACATATTCATCTGAGACATGTAATATAACTTTTCCTCTCTTTAAAACATTTTCCTTGCCCTGGCCGGTGAGGCTCAGTTGGCTGACCATCGTCCATGCACCGAGAGGTCACTGGTTTGATTCCAGTCAGGGTACATGCTGGGGCTGTGGGCTTGATCCCCAGTAGGAAGTGAGCACGAGGCAGCCAATCAGTGTTTCTCTCTCACTGATGTTTCTATCTCTCCCTCTCCCTCTAAAATCAATAAAAACATATATTAAAAAATCATTTTAAAACATTTTTTCCTAGAGGTGATTATTGTAGTTATTCATAAGCTTAGTTTTCTATGGAATTACCATTACCTCAGCCCCAACCTTTCCCTGAGAATTCTAGACATCCTCCCATTATGTTAAACTACATCAGGGATTACACAGTTGTCATCGTTTGGGGGATATCTCTCCTGCAGCAGTCTCATCGTCTCCAAACTGGACTGATCGTTCTCTGTGCCTGACACACAAACGTCATACTGGGGTATCCCCTTACCGTCACTGTAGGCCTTTGTTTAGCTACTTTTGAATTTAGATAGATACGCCTATTCTCTTTCAGTCACTCTTTCTCAGTTCCTTTGAAGCATCTCTTCCACAACATCCTCTGAAAGTCTCTTTTTAAGATTTTACAAGTCTGAAAATGCCTTTATTCTGTGGCAGGGTAGTAAGAACCTAGGAAAATCCTGGGCAAGTGGATGGGGAAACTGAGACCAAAAAATTTAAACAAGGTCAAACAGTTTGGGCAGCTTGCAGCCAGCTTTTGAATTGTAAGACCTTATCTTCCCTGGCCAAGGCCACTTGAGAGCAAATGGTTTATACCCTCCTCCCTAACCAGAGAATACATAGCTTAAATCACCCTGGCCTGGGAAACAGAGAACAAAGACTCAATTAATGCCATTTGTGCAGCTAAACCCAAGGACAGATGAAGTTGGGGAATAAATAACAAAAACCCCATTAAAGACAGACCTAAGATAAAAGTAAAACAGTAAAACAGACCAAAGAATAATCCAAACTCCCCTATACACTCATTTTAATGCATCAGCATATTAAAAATGCTCCTGGAAAGCTGATGAATATTCTACTGAAAGCCTCCCCTAAGTCTCACCTGCAGGGGGAAACAATAAAAGGACCCCAGGACAAAGGCAGGGTGGGCTCCCTCTAGAGCACGCCTGTGCCCCTTCCCGGGCATGAACTCTTTATTTGTAAGGGTCCCCACAAGACTTGCAGCCAGGGGAGTGGTGGGCAGCAGCAGCTCAACCAGGTTCATGCCCCATCCTGTCCCCAAGATCCCCTTTTCCTCTGACTTCCCAGTGAGCTCACAGCAGCCCCACCCAGGCTCACTTCTTTCCTCTAACATTTCTAGGGAGCCAAAGCAGAGCACCGCCTAGGCTCTCCTCTGTTGTTTCTTCTACCCTAATTTCTTCCTTTGTTTCAGTGTCCCCGGCATTAACAAACATACTCTCAAACCCATCTGGACTTGACTGTGAAATTTTTCCTATACGAAGTCAAGAACCTACACACTACAGGCTGGCCTGAGACAGACCTGCTCTGTGCCAGACCCTGTCTTGGCTCTAGGTATGTAGCTTAGATTGCTAACAGTTTTTCACTCCAAATTTTGGAAGAAATTGCTCCTTGCCAGCATCCAGTGTTACTGATGAGAAACCAAACAATATTAATTCCAGATTATGTGACCTAATTTTCCCTCTCCAGAAATGTTTATAGTATTTTGCTGCATAGTCAGAAATTTCATAATGGTATCTTTAGTGTGGGTCTGTTTACCTTCAATATGTTAGAGGCCTGACAATCCCTTTTAATCCAGAAAGTTTTGCCCTTTAATAGAAAAATGCCCTTCAATTTTTCTACTTTTCATTTGATCTTTCCTTTATTTTCATATTATTCTGATATTAGACCTTCTGGATAAATCCTCCAGGTTTATACCATGGAAATTAACAAGTGCTAAGAATCAGGGCCTTCTTTTTCTTTTTGGAGAGCTGGTTCACTATACCACCACTCTTACTATATACACAGGTGGGTTGAGGGAAACTAATAGGTTTCTGGAGATCCAGATCTATTCAGTGAGTTCTTTCAGTCATAACCAAGGCATTACACATCTCATTTTCTTTGTTAGAAGTAATTTTGCCCAAGTTAATGCAACTTTTTAAATGTAGTGACAATGTATTCTAACTTTACCACTTTTAACATATAAATGAATCAAAACCCATATACCTTTCTCCATTATGTTCCTCTAGAAGAATTTCTTGAAAAGCATCCAAAGGAAATAAATGATGGTAAGACCGTGCCAAATGGGGAGCAGACACCAAAGTAAGACCTGACACATAAAGCAGAGAGACATATTTAACAGCCCAAACCTCATAAAGACAGTGGCTGAAATGTCAAGTGATATAACTTAGACTAAATATTTTCAAGTTTTTTGTTTTTTTTAATTGTAGCTATTCATTTCTTCAGTTTACCTGTGGCCATAAAAGGAGGTTCTAGGATAGATGTGACCTCTCTTTGCCTATTTGATCACTTATAAATAAAATTCTACAATTCTATTAATTTAATTCCCTATTCTTCTTATATATATTTACTTTATGAAGTTAAGAGCTACAAAGTGTCTACCAGATCTGCTGCATCTCCTTTAAAGAACATGCTTTATTCAGAAAGAGAATCAAGATACTCTTCTGGAATGCCATGTTTATTCTTGGAAACAGAGTACAGGGCACTCAATAAAAAAAGTAGTCTAGCCCAGCTGGGTGGCTCAGTTAGTTGAGTGTCACCTTATAGACCAAAATGATTGTGGGCTCAATCCCCCAGTCAGGGCAAATACCTAGGTTGTGGGTTCCCTCCCTGGTTGGGGCATACAAGAGGCAACTGATCAATGTTTCTCTCTCACATCAGTATTTCTTTCTCTCTCTCTCTCCCTTCCTCTCTCTCTAAAATCACTTTAAAAAAAAAATCTTTGGGCAAGGATTAAAAAAAAAAAGTAATCTATTTTTTTTCTCACATTAAATCCAGAAACACAAGCAGAGCTCAATATTTACATTTATTTTAAGAGCAATATAGGTGAGAAGTTATTCAAGATTAGTTTACTGAATAATAAACAGTTGGTTTCTTACCACAGATTTTACATTCAACAGGAAGCTCACAATACTTTGCCCGACATTGTGGACAGAAATAGCCTCCTAATGTAAGTCCTGGCTCAGCATTGCTATCCAAATGCCTGAGGGGAAAAACATTACTTTAGAAACATGATATACAAAAATGTAAACAGTTAGAGCAAAAGGAAGTATGCTACCTTGATTTTTAAATCTTAAAGTTGTTTCATAGCTCACTTATATTCATTTTGGGGTTTTTTCCTGTCTGTACTTTTGAATAGTTTCCATTAATGTCTTTGAATTCACTAATCTTTTCTTCAGTGACTAATTTGTTGTTAAATTTTTCCTCTCACACGCTGTATTCTTCATCTCTAGAAATCTGATTTGGGTCTTTTTTCTAACTTCCATCTCTCTTATCATGTTCATGTTCTCCTATACTTTTCCTGAACATATGGGTGTGTGTGTGTGTGTTTGTGTGTGTGTGTGTGTATAAAATAGCTGTTTTAACATTGTCTACTAATTCTATTAATTGTGTTATTTCTGGATATGTTTCCATTCTCTGATTTTTGACTCCTTATTATGGGTATTTTCTGACTTCTGTGCATGCCTGGTAATTTTTGATTGGCTGCCAGATATTGTGAATTTTGCTTTGGGGTGGTGGATTTTTTTTGTATCCCCTTAAATATGTTGAGGCTTTTTCTGGAATACAGTTAAGTAACTTGGAAATAGTGTGATCCGTTCAAGACTTGCTTTTAAGTTTGTTAGGCTGCCCAGAGCAGCTGTTAGACTGGGGTTAATTTAGTTCCATTATTGTGGGCTCTGTTCAATCCTGTTGTGTTAACAGATGTCTCCAAACTGACTGGTGGGGACATAAACTATTCTTTGCCCCTCGTGAGCTCTAGGGATTGTTCTGCCTGCTCCTCTCCACTGGCTCTTTCCCTGGCCCCGGTAGTTCACTCACAGAAATGTGCTGATCAATACTCAGGTAATGACTCATGGGAAAGTCTCTGCAGATCTCAAGAGCTCTTTACTCTCTACTACTCTGACCTACAAAATAATAGCCATTTCAGCCTCCCCTAACTGGACTTTGTCTCTTCAACTGAGCAAGACCTCCAGGCTCTGTATAGGTTTTCCTTCCCTGTACTGCAGCCTGCAAATTCTCTTTGGACAGTAAACTGCATAGGGCCCACCTCACTTGTTTCCCTTCTTTCAGGGATTATTATCTGTATTGCTTTTTTCCAATGTCTGAAAATGGTTGTTTTATATACTTTGTCTGGTTTTCTAGCAGGAGGCAAGAGTGTAAATCCAGTCCCTATTATACCTTTATAGCTAGAGACAATAGTCTTATTTCCAATTTTTAAGAATTACTTTCTTTAATTTTGTTTTATAATTACGTAAAATGTAAAGTTCCAAAGTTAAAACAAGGTATATTCAGAAAAGTCTATGGTCTAATCTCATTGCCTTTCTCCATACATCACCTAGGTAAACTTTTTTTTTTTAGTTTTCACTTTTGATTTCTAATACTATTTTTCTTATTTATATAAGCAAGTACGTATATCTAGTCAAATTTCCACCCTCTTAGATAACTGGTAGCATACTACACATTGTTCTCTATCTTGTTTTACTTAGTAATATATCCTAAAGATTACTGTATAGGAGTTTATAGAAATAGTCCTCATTTTTACAGCCATTGTATTTCTTTTACAAAAGCCATTATATTTCAAGTCCATCTTTTTAATTTATAACTTATAGAAGAGAATTAAAGATATGAGAACATCATCGCTGACGTTTCCAGGTTTTTACTTACGCCATGCTGAAAGAGGGTTTTGCATCTTGATCAGACAGAGAAGCAACAGTATGCTGAGGAAATCCTTCATAGAAGACAATGTATTACTTTCTTTTTCCAAGCAAATAACAAAATTCTAGGGCTAGGAACCTAAAAATGTTCCTACTACAAAGCCCACAAAGTTGTACAAAGGTTCTCTCCCCTGCACTTCAGATATGTCTATTATAGCATGGTCAAACTGACTGTAATTCCGGGTTACAAGAAAAGTCAAAAGTGGAGGAAATGGGAGAAAGGTCTGTCCATACATATAGCCTCAGCTTCTCAAGTTCATATCTGTATTTTCTAATTCAATAACAAGTAACATATACTGCTTATTAAAAAGAAAATGTCATTTTTAAATAGTTTCTGACATAATGGAGGAGTCTATTGCATAATCTACTTTCAGTTTATATAAAAAATACATGTCTGTGTTTAAATTTTTGGAATGCACAAACCTAGGTAGTTTGTTTTTCATATATATTTTAATTTGAAGACAAATCCAAGAAATCATAAACAAAAAGAGATTTTATTACATAAAAATGTTAAACATATCTACATATCAAAACAAAAAAAAGTAAAGGTAAAGGACCAACTGAAAAAATATTTACATCAGGTGACAGAAAATGGGTTGATATTCCTAAATGACTCTAACAAATCAATTTGAAGAATAAATTATTATAAGATAAAAGAAGAGCTTTAAAATGGGCTAAGGAAATGTATCAATAAATCAAAAAAGATTAGCCAACATCGTATCTAAAATGTATTGAGTATTTATGTCAAGCATTATTCTGAACATTTCATCTGCATTAACTCAATCCTGACAACACACAAGATAGATACGAATCTCATTTATAGATGAGGAAACAGGAAAGAGCAGCTGACCAGTACTATAAATGGCCCAAAACAAGACAGAAGAGCATTCCACTTCACTGACAGTTAAAAAATGTATATTAAGCAAGAAGATTCTTATGTTTAAATAGTTATGTCTTTTTCAATTATAAATGTAATGTTCATTATAAAATTTTTAGAAAATAAAGGAAAAAAAATTTTTTAAATGATGCAAAACCCAGCATTCCCCATCTTCCAAAAACAAAATCACATTGAGCAATCTGATGTGCCTTCCTGCAACCTTCTGTCTTGCAGTTTGTATTACAGATTTGATCAAACAGTACCAAGGATTTTGCAGCTTATTTGTTAAATTTCCTAATACAAGGACTTTTCTATAAATGCAGTGTCTTTATGCCTTTCACACCTTAACAATAAAAAAAAGCCAGTAGTGTACTCTGAGTAATAATAGGACTACAAATGGTTTTAATTTTCTTTTTACATCTCTGTATTTTCCAAAATTGCTTCAATAGCATAATTTTCTCTAATTATAAAACATTTAAGTTAAAAAAAATCTTAAATGTTAAAATAACTTGTGCAAATGAAAACAGAAAATCTAGTTTGAGCCAACATGTATTTTTTAAATGTTTATGTTAAAATAACACAAAATAAACACTTACCCATACGAATCAGTGAGCATTCAGAACTTGAGCTGGCAGGAGGAGGGCTAACATGATGTGTCAGCAATTCTTTGTAATGACTTTCATCTAAAATAACATGGTATGTGCCTAACAAGATGAGAAGCAAAAGAAAAGAAAATCAGCTTTCTAGACATAATAATGAATTACATCATTTCCATGTATTTCTGTAAATGTTTCACTATCTAAACTATACAATTTCAAAATAAATACTTAAGTTAAATTATCATTTTTCAAAAACCTTATTTAAATAACATCTTTATATTGACTTTTCAAGGAATAACTATAATTACAATTAAAGCCAAATTATAAGATCTTTTTTTTTTTTTTAATGTATCTTTATTGATTTTAGAGGAAAGGAGAGGGAGAGATAGAAACATCAATGATGAGAGTCATTCATCAGCTGCCTCCTGCACGCCCTGTGCTGGGAATCAAACCCACAACCCGGGCACATGCCCTCACCAGGAATCGAGCCATGACCTCCGGGACCCTAGGTTGATACTCAACTGCTAAGCAACGCCCGGACAGGCAAGTTATGAGATCTTTACAAAGTATTACACTTAATGAAATTTCAAGCTTTTCAAGAGTTATACTGCTTCCTCTGAATATTGACATAACTTCTGAAAATTTCTTGCATTTTGAGATATCAACAAAATCAATAATATATTTAAGATGACTACCCATATTTTGGATTTCAGGACATGAATTGATTTAAGTTTAGTAGCTTAAAAACAGGTTAATGAAAGAGATTCTGTAGAACTTGTCAAATCTTTGAAACTTGGAATATATTGCTTTCATAATATGAAAAAAATCCTGATGTAATTCATTGTTACTTCTTACATAGTAAATATGAATAAATATTAAAGAGTCTAGATATATACCACCAGTTTCACGAGCAAGTACTGTGCAAACCCGAACTTCTGCAGACAATCCAATAACAGACACTCTAATTTTAGTTGCCTTTAGGGTCTTCATAAAATCCAAGTAAATGGACAGTTTTGGGGGAAGAAAAAAAAAGCATTGAACAATTAATGTGTTTGAAAAATAAACAGAATGCTCTGAAAACTAGTAATAAATTCACTACACAATTTTCTTTAGAGTTGTAACTTTGGTTTTGATTATAAAAGTATTGGATCTACCTTGATAAGATCATAGATATTAGACGGATCACACGTTGTGAGGCTGCTAAAGATGATTAGGACTTCTCTACTTGTATGTCCAGGCATGTGTCTAAAGAAAGATAAAATACATTCCAATTAGGTATAACAAATTACACTAATGAAAAATTTACCCAAAGACAGTATACATGGTTTATACATTTAGACTATAGAATTTCTCATTTGTTTCAACACTGCAAAGGAATGAATTGAAAACTCTTTTAAGTTCTGGGGATAGAGAAACAAGACTGACAAAGGTTCCTGACATCATGAAGCTTACATTCTAGTAGATTTGCTTCATACAGATCTAAAGGGTACATTGCAAAGTATAACAATACCAATTGCATCAATTTTAAGGTGTATGTATACATGTGGCTTGACAACAGTAATGTACTTCTTTTTTTTAAGTCTATAATTTAACCTCATGGTGATTCAGTCATAATAATCATAAACATTAATTTTTATGTACCATTTAATTAAATGATGGCCTATGGAATCTTAAGATGTGATAAGCAGTTATCCTCTATACTAACTAGAGATTTCTACCCCTTTAGCATCAATTTTATCAGTTTTTTGGAGCCTACTTGCTTATATCTTCATTGTTAGGCTCTCAGCTTTCATTTGTGGATGTAGCTATTGTGCCTACCTTCATTACAGCTACTTCGAAACTAGAAAAATATCTATTATATAAAGGTATAAAAATCTGAGTCAGGACAGACTAGCCAGGGACAAAAATATATAAGCTTTAACTATACTGAATACTTAATCTCGCGTCTGTTATGTTCTACATAGTTGAACTTGTTGGAAAAGAGTACTATTATTTACAAATCACAAATAAGCTATTAAAAGTCAATAAATGCACAAAACCTCACATTATCATACCACATTAAATTCCATATATAATCAATTTTCAATAAAATATTTTTCATCAACGTATTTCTTTTGTACTACTAAACTTGCTACAATTTTAATNTCAATTTTCAATAAAATATTTTTCATCAACGTATTTCTTTTGTACTACTAAAATTGCTACAATTTTAATTATGTTTTTCTAAATCCTCGCCAATTAAAATGTAAAGTAAAAATTACTAACACCACACTAAACATCATAAATGACATTACATATTTCACTTCATAATGATTTCATTATAGCTGGTTTTATAGAGAAACATATTAACATATCATTTCAACTTATTAAAAAAACTTTGAGATCAATTATATGTAATAAATGGAAAACACTAACTTTAGAGTTTGCATAGCCATGTTTAAGGAGTTATAAAGAGATGGCTCTCCATGGCAGGTCATATCTACAGCTTTCTTCAAAGATGTTATGTGTTTTCTAGGGTTTCCTAAAATAGAAATGGAATAATTTAATTTAATTAATTTATTTATTTTTGCTTTTTTAAATTATAGTTTACATTCAATATTATTTTGTATTACTTTCAGGTATACAGCATAGTGGTTAGACAATCATATATTTACAAAGTGTTCCCCCTGTTAATTTACTTTTAATAATACTCTATTTATACTTTACGGAAACTTATGTCTCTCCAAAAATTTACATATTTATGTTAAAGAACAGAATCCCTTCAATTTATGTTTTTAGCAACATACACTTTTATCAGCGATGTTTGTTATATAATGTCTCATTTCATACTAAAAAAAAAGAGTAATCCTCACTTAATGTTGTTGACAGGTTCTGTGACTTTAAGTGAAACAATATAAAATGAGACCAATTTTACCATAGACTAATCAATATAAACAAGAGCTAAGTTCCTATGGCATCTCATCAATATTATAATGAAATGATGCTGAACTTGATGTTATTCAAGAAGGACCTGCTGTACAAATAATATTTTTATCTATTTGCACACATTTTATTAATATTAACCTAGAGTGCATAACTTTTTACTTTAAATATTTCCCTATTTCATCATTTTTAAGACTAATATATGTTCACATTTTAACATCTCTGAAATCGCAATTTGTCTTACCATCGCTGGCAGCCAGCAGCATTGTTATGACAGCTGTCATTGCCTGCTCATGTGGGAACCTGTGAATGGCTATGGATGTGTTGTTGCTTTAAATGCATTATGAACACTGTGCCTTTCATGTTGAGTTTAACTGTGATTTAAAGTGTTTTTTAGAAAAGTTATTAATACAAAAGGTTAAATCTTTATGTAGACAGGCATGGAACAGAGCAGTGAGGTGTAAATTTATTACTAGTGAACGCCTACAAGTCTACATTTTTCTTCAGGAGAAAAACCCAAGAGCTTTATTAAACCTAAGAAAAGAGGGTTTCCAAAAATAGACAAAGCTGTGTTATCTTCTGTTATGGGAAAAATAACTAAAAAGGTTAACATCTGAAAAGATTCTATATCTCAACTCAAGTAATGCAAATGAAGGGAGCAAAAACTGCCAAATTCTTTAGAATAATAGTTGACAAACACATTAAATCATCAAGAAGCTGGAATGAATGAGTCACATATCATTTGACCTTGTGTCAAAGTTTAACTGCTAGTGTTTCCTTTTTCTTTTTTAAATCCTCACCCAAAGACATGCTTAGAGAGAGAAAGGAAGGGAAGGGAGGAGGGAGAGGGAGGGAGAGATAGACAGACAGACAGACATCAAGGGGTTGCCTTCTGTACATGCCCTACTCGGAGCTCACACCCACAACCCAGGAATGTCCTTATCTGGGAATCGAACCGGCAGCCTACCAATGCACAGGACAAAGCTCAAACAACTGAGCCACTCTGACTGGGTGGTGTTTCCTTCTTGATGGCTCATAAACTAAAGGTATCTCACAAATATTAAATCTGAGAGTCAATGAAATATGGTATTCTTCAGATATTTTATCCTATTTCAACACTGTCTTCATATTAATTAACAATAACCAAAACATCATTAAATTGATTTTATTGTATAGTGTAATTCATCAAACTACCTACCTACTACTGAACATTTATTTACAATTTGCCACTATTACAATTACTGTTAAAAAAAGGTACATTTGTAGTGAGGTTTTTTCTTCTTTCATAACATTTCCTAAGTATAACTCCAAGGAACAATCATTTTTATGACCTCTCCCTCCCAAATAGCAAGCAATATATTCTTGTTGAAACTTCATTTTGCTCATTTAAAATACAAACAATAAAATGTTGCTAAGTGGTTTGTTCTTGATCACTTGTTTGGCTATCCTCGTATGAATTATGTCTTCTTTGTCCATTCATCTACTTAGAGCTTCTTGGTTTTATTTATCTGAATAAATTTTAGTATGTATGCTGCCAAAGTGAGCACAGAGTAAGTTTTTTGTTTAAGATTTACTAGATTTTATTTTTTAAAGAAATATTAGGGTCATAGCAAAACTGAGCAGAAAGTACAAAGAGTTCTCATACACTCTCTGCTCCTGACACATAACCTCCCCTACTATCAATTATCAAAAATGTTAGTTAGTTACAACTGATGAACCTACATTAACACATCATTGTCACCCATAGTTTACATTAGGGCTTACCTTTGGTGTTGTCCATTCTTTAAACAGAATACATTTTAAAATATTAACCATTTGCCATATTTAATATATACTGCAATTATTTATTCTTAGCATCACAAAATTTTAGAAATGAAAAGTACCTCACTAAGCCCAAATCCCTCATTTCATAAGTGAGAAACAAATCAAATAAGATGAATGATTTGCCCAAAGACATATGCCTACCCAATGGCAGGACCAGCACTCACACCTAGACCTCCTGGCTCTCTATCCACTTCTCTTTCTACCACATCATACAAATATTTTTTTCATCTCCCACTGTACTGTGAGTCTGAGAAAAAAGCATACTGCATTACTATCAGTGTGGTTTATAGCAGTGATTCTGATCACAGAGAGAGTATACCTTCAAGAGGTCTATCAGAATCTCCAGAGAATTTGTGATCTCTATGTATATGACTTCCTTGGCACACACAGTAAACTGTTACTAATTTGGGGGTAGTAGTAGAAGAGTTGGCCCTACCTCCTTTCCCTATTGTATAATAACCTTCCTTAGCTCATGAGATTCTGATGAAGCTGACCCTGATTCCATCCTCATCCAGGGACAAGCATGTAATCCAGGCCTACCAACAAAACACTTCATTCTCCTGTCCACTCTGACTGTTCATGGACAGGCAGACCATAATTAGTAGCGTAAATAAGAGTCCTATCTGGGACTTGTGCTAAAGCTACAAAGGTTATGTAGACTTGGAGTATTAATGGACATCTTTTCAGCTCACAAAAAACTATCAGAGAATGAAGCAAGGCAGAGCTAGCACCCCTAGAAACAATTATATATGAAATCAGCCCACCTTTAATACATGGGCATGTAATTTCCCTTTTGTGCCTAACCTAGTTTGAGATTTTTTTGATTACTTGCCACTGAGTTTCCTGGATGACTCCAGGTTGACATACATTTTACTTCTTACTGCCACAGTGAAAAACAGTTAGTGATAAAAGTACGTCACTTTCCTCATGTGTACTGGTGAGGTTCCTCATGTGTACTGATGAGGAAGAGAGGCTGAGAATGACATTTAAGCCCGGCTTGGCATGGCTCAGCTGTTGAGCATCGACCTAGGATCCAGGAGATTGGGGTTCGATTCCTGGTCAGGGCACATGCCCGGGCTGTGGGCTAGGCAGCCGATCAATGACTCTCTCATTATTGATGTTTCTAGATGTTTCTATCTCTCTCTCTCTCTCCCTCTCTCTGAAATCAATAAAGGTATGTTAAAAAAAAAGAAAAAAAAAGACTGACATTTAAGGGATAGAGTATTTCACAGAAAATAAAATGAAACTAGTGATGTAAATTTATAACACATATACCAAAGCAAATAAAACCTGCCATTATCTTTTAAAAGTCTCAAATTCAGTTAAGCATGCCATGAAAACAAAAAAAAACCTGAATCATTAACAATAACTACAATTTACTTTTTATATTCTTTGCTCTTTAGAGGTTTAACTTGTAAAAAATTCATTTTAGCTTGGACAATGTGGCTTAGTGGTTGACTGTTGACCCATGAAGCAGGAGATCACGGTTCGATTCTCAGTCAGGGCACATGCCCAGGTTGCAGGCTCAATCCCCAGTGGGGAGCATGCAGGAGGCAGCTGATCAATGATTCTCTCATCATTGATATTTCTCTCTCTCCCTGAAATAAATTTTTTAAAAAATGAACATACTTTTTTTTTTTTAATATATCTTTATTGATTTCAGAGAGAGAAAAGGAGAGGGAGAGAGAGAGATAGAAACATCAATGACGAGAGAGTCATTGATCAAGCCCGCAATCCGGGCATGTGCCCTGACGGGGAATCGAACCCTGATCGCCTGGATCCTAGGTAGACGCTCAACCGCTGAGCCACGCCCGGCTGGGCAGAACATACATTTTTTTAAAAATTATTTTTAAAATTAAGTGGATTTTCTGAATGGTTACAACAATTTTAATACTTTGGGGATGAATGTTTCTATCTTACACATACATATTTACTTTCATTGTGATACTATTCACCACTGTACAGAACTCAATTTAAAACAGTTCATCTCAGACACTAAGTTTAATAGAGTTTAATAGAGAACATACAAGAAAGCCTAATTTTACTTATTAGGCAACCTTATAAACAGGGTTACAAGGTTGGGTAAATAAAGTCAAGTCCTTGAGTCCTGTAAAGGTAATTTTATGCATACCTGAGAGTTCTGTCAGTTTTTCAGCTCTTTTACTCTTTGTCACAATAATTCCAATCTAGTAATAAAAATAAAAATAATTATTAATTTAACAAATTATTTCTTGGTAAGAATGTACATTAATATAAATTAGTAATTACAGAAGGAGTAAGAAACATGTGAGACTTTTTCTCATGATAATTTTGACATAAATTTAGCTGAGTTCACTGTACATAATTTAACTTTTTGAGTTATCTTGCTTTTCATTGACAAGTATACCAAAAACTGGTACACAATCTGAATCACTTAACAATTCATAGAATAGATGCCCAATGTTTTAAAAATAAATTCATTTGCAGTAATATCAGGAATCTAATTCTGAATTCTGTCGCTTATTTACATACCTGACTAATAGGATTTTGATCAAAATATTCCTCTACGAAGTATTCCAACAACTGTTCAAATAAAACAAAAAGGAAATACTAGGTAAGCGCAAAATAACAACCACAGGGAAAATATTTTGGGAAACCCATTTATCAAGCATGATTTTTAAGTTTACAGATTTTCAAAAAATGTTCAGTAGGCCCAGCAGGCATGGCTTGGTAGTTGAGCATCAACCCACGAACCAAGAGATCGAGGTTCGATTCTGGGTCAGGGCATATGCACAAGTTATGGGCTCGATCCCCAGTGGGGGGCAAGTGAGAGGCAGCTGATCAATGATTNCGATTCTGGGTCAGGGCATATGCACAAGTTATGGGCTCGATCCCCAGTGGGGGGCAAGCGAGAGGCAGCTGATCAATGATTCTTTCTCATCATTGATGATTCTATCTCTCTCTCCCTCTCCCTTCCTCTCTCTGAAATCAATAAAAACATATTAAAAAAATAATGTTCAATAGTAAAAATGTTAAATAAAATATGATAAAATTTAGCCCTGACCCAGGTCAGTTGTTTGGAGCATTGTCCTGCATTCCAAAAAGGTTGGGGGTTCAATCCCTGGTCGGGGCATGTATGGGAGACAACCTATCGATGTTTCTGTCTCTCCTTTCCTCTCTCTCTAAAATCAATAAAACATATTCTCTGGTGAGGATTTAAAAAAAAGACAAAATTTAAAATATTAAATATTAAAATATTAAACCTGGATCTGAAATGGTAAGTGAGAACATAGGTTTAAACTAGGCCTTAAAAGATGGAACCACTTGTACATGTAAGACAAACAATCTAAATAAGGAAGAGATCCAATGAAGACAAAAAAGGAGAATGAGCCGAATTAAGGATGGATTTTGATAAATTAGGAATAATCTGAATATATTTATAAACTGAGGAGATTGATTCAAGTAACTCAAAGGAGAAAGAAGATTCAACAAAGAAAAGGAATAACTGACAAAACAAGACACTGACTTAGGGTAGGAGGGTAGAAACGAAGGGCATAAACATAGTAGTCCCCCCTTATCTTTGGGGGATACATTCTGAGATCCTAAAGCCGCAGATAGTTTTCCCTATACATACAAACCTATAATAGAGTTTAATTTACAAATCAGAAAATAACAAAGGCACATAAGAAAATAACAAAAATAACTAATAATAAAATATAACAATAATAATAATACACTGTAATAAAAGTTATGTGAATGTGGTCTCTCTGTCTCTCCCTAAATATCTTTTATACTGTGAATACAGAATGGATACACTGGACAAAGGGATGATTCATATCCATGTCAATGTGGCAGGACAAAGCAGGACAGCATAAGATTTCATCATGCTACTCAGAATGGCATGCAACTTAAAACTTATGAATTGTTGCCCTGGCCGGGTGGCTCAGTTGGTTGGAACGTCATCCTATACACCAAAAGGTTGTGGGTTCAATTCCTGATCAGGACATATACCTAGGTTACAGGATCAATTCCTGGTCAGGGTGTGTACGGGAGGCAACCAATCGATGTTTCTCTCTCACACTGATGTTTCTTTCTCTCTCCCTCCTGCCCTTCCTCTCTCTCTAAATCAATAAAAACATCCTTGTGTGAGGATAAAATAAACAAAGCTTGTGAATTGTTTATCTCTGGAATTTTCTATTTGATATTTTCAGACTATGGCTGACACGGGTAACTGAAACTGAGGATAAGGGGAGGGACTACTGTAATTAGCTATTTTGGTGTATCATTTCCCTAAATGATCTGGTAGCACTTCTACTCAGCTATAGTTTGTATTAACTCAAACTCAAAATAAAAAGATTGTATTTTAAAATTTTTCTTTTACCTTTAAAGTACATGTCAGCCTATTTGGCTTTAAATCTTGGTCTTCCATTGTTCTTGATCCATCTACTACCACATAAAGATGGCGCATCTACAAAAAAGAAATACAAAGAAGGAGAATTTTCAAATACATTTTTGACCAAGTAAAAATGGCATTTAGTACTCACATAGTCTATACATATATTTTTAATATGTCCTTTTAAAAGGTTTTTTGTTTCACTATTGTTTATTCTATCAAGCCAGAATGTTTCTCGACCCCAAAAGAGTTCTGTGCCAGTAAAAGAAAAAAATAACATACCATTCCAAGTCGAACTTGTCCATGGTGCTCAAATACTCTGTTAAAATTATACAAACATTTTAATGGACTACCACATGATACCCAAAGAAATCAATACAACTTTTTAACTAACCTACTTTTTTTAGTAAAATAAATTATTAACTTATGGAATCTACATAATTATAGGCATTTTGGATAGTCCCTAAAGACCCATTTCCCTGCTGAGGCACTAAGTTGCTGGTTCCTTCCCCCTATTTAGAAGGTTACAGGTCAGTTTTCTTGAAACACAACTGAAATTAAGTACTGTAAAGTGGATTTAGATGGACAGAAAGGCTTAAAGAAATATTTTATCTTTTGTAACACACAAAAACGCTTACATACCTTTTTCTCTTTGCTTTGAACAGGATATCTTCTATTGTAGCTTTAAGTGATCCTGATTCATCTTCTTTAAGAATCTCCCTATAAGTAGTAATTACTTGTTTAAAAAGATAAGCTAAAAATTTATTAACCCAACAGAAATGAAAACACATGTCCACATAAAGATTTGTATGTAAATGTTCACTGGTGTATTATTCTTTTTTTTTTTTTAATATATCTTATATTGATTTCAGAGAGAGGAAAGGAGAGGGAGAGAGAGAGACAGAAACATCAATGATGAGAGAGTCATTGATCAGCTGCCTCTCACACGCCCCGACTGGGGATTGAGCCCGCAACCCGGGCATATGCCCTGACCGGGAATCAAACCCCGATCGCCTGGACCCTAGGTCAAAGCTCAACCACTGAGCCTCGCCCAGCTGGGCTGGTGTATTATTCTTAACAGCCAAAAACTGTAAACAATCTAAATGTCCATCAACTGACGAATGGATGACTAAAATCATGGTATAACCGTATAATATATGTCACCAATTTAAAAAAATGAATTACTAATACATTCTACACGAATGAATCTTGAAAAATAGCATTTTTTAAAAATTGATTTTAGAGAAAGAGGGAAGGAAAGGCGGAGAGGGGAGAGAGAGGGAAACATTGATTTGCTATTGCACATATTTATGCATTCACTGTTTGCTTCTTGTATGTGCGCTGACGGGATACCAAACCTGCAACCTTGGAGTACTGGGATGACACTCTGACCACCTGAGATACCCACCAGGGCAAAACTAGCATGTTAAGTGAAAGAAGCCAGACACAACTGACCACATGTTATTACATTTCATGTAAATGATTATATTTACATGAAATGTCCAAAAAGGGCAAATCTATAGAAGCAGAAAGTGGATTTGTGGTAGCCTAGGTCTAGTGGTATAAACTGAATTAATTGTAAGTGGGCATGAGGGATTTTACTGGGGTGGTAAAAATATTCTAAGCCCTGGCAGAGTAGCTCATTTGGTTGGAGTGTCATCTCAGTAAGCAGAGGTTGCGGTTTGATCCCGGTCAGGGCACATACAAGAAACAACCAGTGAATTAGCATAAATGAGTGGAGCAACAAATGGATCTCTCGCTCCACCTTCTTTTCTCTCTCTAAAAATCAATTAAAAAAATTTTTTTTAATGTTCTAAAACTGATTTATGATGATGAATGCAGAACTGAACAGATTTTCTAAAAATCACTGAATTATGCCCTGGAAAGAGGTGAAGTTTAACATTTGTAAAATATACTTTAATAAAGTTGTAAAAGATGTCTAAAGGAGAAGAGAAACACTGTAATAATGCTCTACTCACCATGTTCTTTCATAGCCTCCTTCCCATCGCTTAGTTCTTTCAGGTTCTTCATCCATTTTTTTCTTAAATGTATGATATTATTCAATATCCTATAAAAACCATTGCATTGTGAATTTCATAAAGATATTTGTCACCAAATGCCTACAATTAAATTTGAAAAGTAAAGAGGGGGAAGTAAACATACAAAGTAAAAAAAAAATCAGAATGCAAGGTCATCTTACATTCTTTCAAATTTATTCAATAACTGTTGTTGGGTGAAAATACTTTACAAAATCCTCAAGGAACTTTTTCCCATCCCCAAGGAATACTAATATTTACATACAAATTTGGCACCAATAGAAGTTATCTTTTTGTAATTTTTTTAAAAAACAAAAATGAATTTTAGCTGTGTCATAGGACAGGACCATAGATTGTAAGAAGTGGGTACGGGTATAGATAAAACAAGATTAGCTACAACTAATGGCTATTATAGCTGAGTGATGGATACGGTAACTCATTGTACTACCCCTCCATCTTTGTGCATGTGTAAATTGTTTCATAATCAAGTTTTTAAATGAAATTTATTATTATTTATAAGTGATAAATGCTTATGGCACATAATTCAAAAAATGACACAATATTAAACCTACATTGATCTCAACTATTGAAAGAAAAAATAAGGAAATATTTATTAATTCAATAAATATGACAACTTCAATAAACAGGACGATTTCAATGAACAGGTGTTATGTGGATGATAGGATTAGGGGTGACTGGTTTTTGCTTCTTTATCCTGGTCTGTATTTTCAATATGAATGTGTATGTCTTTAATAATGAACAATAAAACAGGTAGTGGGCAGAACCTATTAACTGCAACCAAGTAAAAAACACCCCATCACACCCACATCTCCACCCTCTCCAGTGAACTTCCTCCCCTTACTCCACACTCCTTTTCAGCTTCCTCGTGAATAAATGAAGGCTCAAAGGAATCCCAAGTACCAAGGCATTAAGGACAAAACAAATCCCATTTGTATTATTGTTGCTATACAACATACATTTAAAAATTTAAAGAACTGACCTATAAATGGATTTCTGGAATCAAAATCTATTGATTGACAAGTTGGAGACGGTCACTGTTTTCTGTGGCACCTGCTATAATTAGGCACTATTTACTAAAGTCCTGTGTCTCTCACTGAAATAACAAACCACTCTTGTTGGGAGAGATTCATGTTTCAGGAAACCTGGTGATCCACTCCAATGTCCTCAAGTAAAGAGAAATGAGTTAATTCTAACTTCTGCACTATTTCAGTAACTGCGCTGGTGCCTTGCAGGTTTAATGATGTGTGGGAACGCAGCATACAAGGACTAAACTGAACATTTTGGTCCTCCATGCAAATGTTTTCGATGTTTTTAAACTCAAATTCTTTTAAAAGGGGCTACTGCCATCCAATACATCAAAATGTATTTTATTTTTAGTTTGTTACTTTGAATTCTCTGAAAGTTCAGAAACAAAGCAAGAAGCAGAAACTGCAGGAGGGAACACTTCTGGCTCACGCCCTACAAGGACCTTGTCATTAGAGCTGCCTGCACCAGGGAATTACAGGGACAGGGCAGGTATTGGCTAAGCTCCCCATAACTGCAGACGTCCAAAGGGAAGCTGGATGTTTACAATGCATGCTGTTACCAGAGAAGGGGGTTAAGCATCCTGGAGAGGGATGCACTTGGTGACCTCTTACGTCATTACCTCCAACTGACCTCTTAGGTCAGTCATCTCCTAAAACTTCCCAATATTCCATCTTCTTAAAATAGCACTGATCTGTTTCCTGGGAATCCAACCCCAGAAAAGCCACTTTGCCCAACGTAATCCTGTCGGTGTGAATTCCGTCACCTGAGCTCAGAATGCTACCTGCAAACAAATGAGATCTGCGCCGAACATCCCATTGATGAAGTTTCCCCTCAGACCTGGTCCTAGCGAGCGCTGTGAGACAGGCAAGGGCGATTACTGTCCTGTTTTTCAGGTGTGGAACTCGAGGATCAAAGGCTGGTGACTCTCTCTCGAGGACACATGCTGGAGGCAGGTCCCAAACCCGAGCCCAGGATACCATTCCCCAAACTCGCGCTCTGCCTTAGGGCCATTCCCCAGACTGCAGCCCCAGCGGCTCCCACGCAGCTCCCCGCACGGAAACTGCCCTCCTCCTTTTCTCCAGGCTCCCCCACTGCCCCATTCCCTACGACGCTGGTCGGAACCACTGAGCCTCCGCCGGGGAGAGGGAAGGGCCCGCCGGCCGCCACGCTCCCCAGGCTCCGGACCCGCGCCTCGGCTCTGCGCGGGCCTCCACCCGCGGACTCACCGGTCCCGCCCGACGCTGCTTTGCCCGGAAGCCGCTCTGTCCGGAAGCGCCACCCAATCCGCTCTGAGGGCGCCTCCAAAGTCCTTCCGCCGCGCGCGGAGGCGAGGCACAAACGTTCCGACTGCTTCAAGCGGAGGTTGCCGGAGCCTGGGGATCTCCGCCTGCGGCTTCCCGGGAGCTGATCTCGGGCGCGCGGTGCCCGCTGACCGAGAGGCGGGAAAGGCGTCGTTCCGTCTTGGACGGTCGGAGTCCCGGTAGCTGTCGAACTGAGGAGCATGATTTTGTTTTATTTCTACAGGGTTGGCATGAAGAACTCAGACCGCAGCAGCAGCAGCAGCACCCTGCTGTTCTGGCAGCAAATATTTTCTTGAACACCAACTTTGGGCCCAATGTAGTTCCAAGCACTGAGGACAGAGCAGTGAAAAACTGGCAAAAACCCTTGACCTCATGTACTTTTCCTTCTACTATGGAGATAGTTATCAAGAAAAACATGCTCTATCCAACGGTCATGGTGGCAAAGAGTAAAACAAAGCGTGGAAGGGGAGCGGGTTGCAGTTTTAAATGGCGTGGTCAGAGGAGCTCCGCACCAAGGCGGCTGAGCCAGGACCAGAAGGCGGGAGGGAGTTCACCACCTGATACTAGGGAAGAGCTCTCCAGGTAAAGGGAGGTGCAAGGGGAAGAGCGTGTGGTGTGTTAGAGGGGCTGCCTGAGGAAGCAGGGGGTGAATGGTGGCCGCAGAAGTCAGAGGGGCGGGTGGTCTGAGCGTGGTGAGGACCTTTGAGGACTCGGACGGCTGGAACTAGCGTAGCAGGCAGTGCAGCTAGTGAAGGCGGCTGCGTTCACAATCTTGGTAAGTCTGGGTGTGTTATGAACAAGGAACCAATGACCCCAAACGTTTTTAGTTGAGCACCCGAAAGGCTGATGTTGCAGTTCCTGAGGGATGTATGTGTGTGCTTAGGACCAGATCCGTTTTGGAAGAGTTGTTTGAGATGCCTACTGATGGGGGCAGAGATGTTGATCGTGCTCTGTTAACCGCGATTGGGAGAGGGGGGAGGGCACCTAATAGGAATAGGACCATAGTTGTTTAATGATCATTCACCTTACTAACTATAGGTATGAGGTTTTTCTTACAGACCCTGGGAAACTGGAAGAGGAGACACTTTGGGGCCTGCACCGGCCCATTGCCCAGAAAAAAGAAAAAATATGCATTTCAAGAACAGACAAGGGCAGAATGCATTTTGATTTGGTTGCTGTGCCTGGAGGCTGAATCCCCATCCGGGAGTTTACTTCAAGAATGCCGACCATCCTCAGGTCCTAGGAACTGGCAGAACTGGGTTTTCACACCATTGAAAATTAACTACCCTGTTATCAGACTTCAAGATCCTGGAAGGAGACACACAGACCACAGACCCTGAGGACATCCTCCCAACTCCGCCCCCCCTGCACGCAGCCTTTCTTCCTTGTGCCCTATTTAATCAGCCAGCCAGTAAGGGGGGGGGGCAGAGCAGATTTTATGTGGACAAACCCCACTTCTCTCCCTTTTTTTGCCAGCTATAATGGAATGTTCAAATGATTCAACCTTGTCTCTGCTTAATTGGCTGAAGTAGCGACAGGCAGCCCAGACCCATTGTGTCCAGTCTCACTCATACGTGTGGAATTAAATACTAGCAATTCCCACAATTGAGAAATGGAGAGGCAAGGCACCCCCAGAATATTTGAAAAAAAGTTAGGCCCAGAAAAGGAAGAGCAGAAAGGAACTACAGGATCTAGAGCAACTTTGTTTCCCTGTTAGCACATGCTTCCTCTCTGTTACCTGTATTGCTCTATTGGCACCAAAATCTTCCCACGTGTTCTACCCCCTCAAAAACAAATAGAAGCCGTTCTGCACAGTAGTAGAGAGAACAGGCCTGGATTTAAAATCAGGCTCTGCCACACTAGCTGGGTGACCTCAAGCAAGTCTATAAAACGGGGATCCCTCCACCTGCCCTACAGGGTTTACACATCACATAGCAACTCCATAACCAGCTCCTTTTATTTGTCCCCAGAAGACAAGGTGTTATTGTTCAGTGTTGGGAGTGTTATCTTTAAAAGGGAGAGGATCGCCCCAGCCTCAGCCGGTGTGGCTCGGTTGGTTGAGTGTTGTCTGGTGCACCAGAAGGTCACTGGTTGGATTCCCCTGGGCTCCATTCCTTCCCCAGTGCCACCGCTCACCTTCCACCTTTGACTCCTCTACAGGACTCACCCCCAAACGCCACTCTTCTTCCTTCCTTGCTTCCATAACCTCCAAGCTTCCTTCTCTTCCTTTCTCTTCCCCCTTTCTGACTGGCCACCCTGCTCCAGGACGCGTTACTGCAGCACAAACGGCCACCACCCCACGCTCCAAGTTTCTCACTTATGTTTACTGCCCTGGAAACTTTTTTAACGGAAAACCAGGGAAGGACAGAGGACTCCCCAGTAAATTTAAAGTGTACTTGTGGAGAGGAGGCTGACTCATTCAGATTTCAGCAACTGTAAAGTTAACTCTCCTCTGTACAGATTTTAATTATAGACCTGACTCAACTAGGAATGGTACTAAGGCAAAAAGAAATATGCATAAATCCATGGTAATACCTTGCCATAATTATGACACAATATTCTAATCATGTACAAAGTAGTAGAATAAATGACCTCACCTAGCCAAATGTTTCAACTTGTAAAAGTATGGGACAACTATAAAGAATGGAACAATTTGTTCTTTTCCCATGGGTGGCTGGACACAATCCAGAGAGTCAGGAAATTCATGAACAGCTTGGCCAGTGGAATCCAGCTGAAATTCAAAGTGTGCAAATTAAAAGACTAGGAGAAGTGAACCTGCCTATTCTAATACTTAGATGGAACTTAAATCATTCGAGAGACTCATTAAAAACCTTCAGAATTGCTTGTAACAGTATCTAATAATCCTTATCTTGATATGTATTCTTTTAAAGGATTTGTTCATTTATGAACAGTCACAATGCCAAGACTAATGCAGTTATGTCTGGAATTCAGAATTTACACCCTAAAAATGCTGCACCCAACACAGATGAAGCATATAGGGGATTGGGATGATACATAAACTTTTAAGGCAACATTTGCTTTTTAAAAGCTTGTTTAAAGTTCCATCTTTGGGAAACAGATGTAACCGGTCATATTTGTTATTTACTTTCTGACAAGGACTGGTCTAAGTCACACATTAATTACCTTCATATAACTAGATTAGGTACAAATATCTCTTTTCCAAATAAGCAAAATGAGATACAGGAAGACTAATTTGCCCAAGGTCACACAGCAAGTAATTGGGGGGGTGGGTAAAGCAAGAACACAGGCAGGAGAAAGCAAGCAGGTTCTTTGGCAGCAAGTAGAGATTTTTTTTTTTTGGAACACCCTGCCACATTTATTGCAGTCACACACACACACAAATACCCCCTAGTGCTGTGTTGTTTTTTCATTCCAAAGTGGCACTATTTTAACATAGTGTTTTCTAAAAACTACCCAAGATATTTGGGCATTTTATTCATGAAAACTATTCCCATTAGAAGAAATGTTAACAACATGAAACACAGGAGGAGGGATGAGATAATTTTCCACCTAATTTATTTGTGCTTTCAGAAAAGAGAGATTACACGGTGAGTGTAAGCAGAACCATGAGCTGCCAGGAGATTGAGTTTGAATTCTTATTTCTATGGCTGAGCCTTTAAAATATCCAGTTGAGATACTTGCAATCCTGATGCTGAAAAAGGATGTGTTTATGTTAGGACTACCTCTGAGCCCCCTCAACTGAATCAGATCCCTGGAACCATGATTAAAGATCTCTTCTGCCTGACCCTTCTTTACACATGCATACCCCCATTCAGGTCATTACAGATACCTCAGATATTTATATGAAAACATTTGATGTTATTATATGTAACATGAAATGTTACATTTCAAAATTAAAATAGGACATTTTATTAACATCAGATAGAGCAACTCCACCATATCCAACCAATCAATTTATTAGGGAAGTCAAGCTAGAATGGGAGTATAGAACCTAGTAATTAAAGATTCCTAGTTTAGTCACTTGCTAGAATGTGATAATGGACCCATTAATCCATCAGATCATTAGTTTTCTTTACTGTAAAATGAGAAATGGTTGCAAGGCAATAGGCTATTGTAAGAAATTAAAAATTTCATGTATGTATGTGTGCATATACAATGTAACTTTTACTACAAATACTAAGACTTTATTTCAAAAAATACAAGATATGCCCGGCTGGGCGTGGCTCAGCGGATGAGCGCTGACCTAGGATCCAGGAGATCGGGGTTCGATTCCCGGTCAGGGCACAGGCCCGGGTTGCGGGCTCGATCCCCAGTCGGGCGTGTGCAGGAGGTGGCCGATCAATGACTCTCTCATCATTGATGTTTCTCTCTCTCTCCCTCTCCCTTCTTCTCTCTGAAACCAATAAATATTTTTAAAAAAAACACACACACAAGATATATGTGATAAAACTAACACGTTATTTTTGTACCTGGGTGGTGGGTACATGCATGTTTATAGTTTTCTGAATTTCTTTAAATTTTTCAAAATTTTAAATTAAAATATTGATCTCTTCCACTTTTAATACAAAACACACATGTAAGGAAATCACTTTAAGCCATGCACCTTTATCAAATGGACCACATGCTTTCACAACAAAATCTTGAACAATATATATAGCAGAAAACAGAACACAGAAGTAAGAATCACAGAAAGTCAGAGAGGGAAGAGACCTCTGAAATCTCCCCTAAACCTCTTCTTTTCTACTAGGAAACTGCTTGAGTGGCTTTTGAAAGTTATATCCAGATAGCTAATGTCAGTCCCAGCAGAAACACACTGATCCTGGCCCCTAGAGTGGTCTTTAGTAAGTACCACATTTGAAAAATGACTTTTTAAAATTTTAATGTCCAATTTTACAATGCAAACTTATGCAACTTAATTTTCTACATTCAGCTGAATAGGTTTTGTCAGAACACTAGGAAGCTTGCCTTCATAAACTAATTGCATTGACTTCCAAGAAGAAAGAATTAAAATCTTAGCACAAATAAAAATCAGTTAAGTTGCTCAAGAGCACCCTTACCATTTGGTGTGAATCCAAAAGGTATGAAAAGCATAGATGATTATCTTTAGTCCTAAGTAAGAGAAGCACATGGAAAATTAAGAATTTCTTCAATTTGAAGAAATAACTCAGAATTATAATGGAAACATTGTTTAAAAGTTTACTTTGGGCCCTGGCCAGGTAGCTTCGTTGGTTAGGGCATCATCCTGATATGCCAAGGTTGTGGGTTTGACACTGGTCAGGGTGCGTACAAGAAGTAACCAATGAATGCATGAATGGATGGAGCAAGTCAGTGTTTTTCTCTCTCTCTCTCAAATCAATAATTAACTGGCTGGGTGGCTCAGTTGGTTGGAGCATCAAATCAATAATTAAGTTTATCTTTGGAAAATGATTCAGACTTGTATATAAAAAGTTATATACTTGTGGATGAAAAAGGGGCACTATAATAAATCTGACAGGTCCAACGCTAATCAAATTCCTAACTGGGCAGATTATGGTGTGTAGTCACACACCTCAGGCATATAACTTCTTTAGTAAAAGGTTTATCTTGCCTTAAGCAAGCCCTGTGCATTGTTCTTGTGCTTCCAGTTTAACCTTTGAAATGCCAGAATATTCTTCTTTTTCAGACTCCTCTGAGGCATAACCACCCTCAAGGGAGCATGTAATCTTTTTTACAATACAATCCCTACCTTGCTTTCTCCCACCTTCATGTAATCTTCCTTAATTCCAAATATACAAAAGAAACTGTGATTCTTGGAGCATTTGAGATCTTGCTTCCGGACATGTCAAAACATTTGGCTCAAATAAACTCCTATAAAAATCTCATAGATGCACACCTCATGGACACAGATAATTAATTTGGTAAAAGCCAAGGAAGGTGGAGGTGGGGGAGGGTGGAGGTGAGCAAATGGGGGGCAGCGGGAGAGAAGGGGGATTCCATCAGTAACGTCAACATTAAAAAATAGAAAATAAAAATTCTCTGCAGGTATGTTGATATACTTAAATGTCTGAATTGCATACTAATGATTAATTTACAGATTCTTCAAAACATTTCACAACAGAGATCTAAACTGAGGGGATAATCACAGTCAACTTGGCTAGTAATATGCCCAGTGATATCAGCTAATTTTACTTCACTAATAAAAATCTGAACGAAAAAGGGTTGTTGAGATTTAAGGGCATGATGTGAAATATTTGATGTTTTGTGGTACTGCATTCTACTTTCAGACAAATCGACCTTCTCATAGCTAATGGATTGGGAAACAAACAACCAGCACAGCACCCAAAATAGTTTAGAACAATAACAGATATAATTGCTGAGTGTAGTTTTGCAAACCTTAAAATTATCAGCACTAATGACATCAAACAGGTATATTATAGAAAGAAAATACTTGGTTTAATACCTTATAAAATATGTACAGAACTTGAACATTCCTGTAAGATACATTTCAAGTCACATCTGAATTATAAATGTAATCAGATACTCTGATATAATTAAAAAGCTTAGTTGGTTTAAAAAAAAAAAAAGGCATGTAAACCATAAAAGATTAAAAAGTGTTTTAAAATACACAATAAAATTCTAACCAGTGGTTTTAAATTTTGATTTTTAAAAAGTAAATATATATTTACAACCTTTAAATTTCACAATTTGTTACTTTTACATTTGATCTTTATTACCAAGATAACATAAAACAATAAAAAGCTCTTTAAACCATTTACACACAGAAAAATCAATAGGGAGGTTGGTAGAATGTAATATCCATAGTAGGTAAAATATGAATGGTCAGGGACTTTATTAATGGAGTCATAAAACAGACTTAACCAAAACTGCAAGCTAAGGAAACAAGCAGTTTCACTTCATTGCAGGGACCCAGTTTCCTTATCTGAAAAGGAATGATTATAAATAACAGTTATGTGAAGGGAGGATTCTGGGAGGAATATATGAGATCACCTACGGGAACTGAAGTTCCACGACATGGCTGCCTAGGGCTTCAAAGTTCATAGCACGGTCCACTGGCCCACTCAGTGACCTTCCTTAAAGGTTTAAAAATCTCAAACAGTTAGTTCTTAATGCAAGAACCAATGTTTACAGCATAAAATCCTTAATTGGAGTGTTCGGCCCAGTTGATCATCAAAAGCTATTTATAAAATGCTTCAATACCAATGATATTAAAGCTACCAAAAGTTTGTAATGATCACAAAAGGTTTGGCCTCTCTGGTTAGAGCCCAAAGTTATTTCGCATTCTGACAACACTGCAGAGATGTCAGACACTTCTCATCACTCAAACAATCTGGAATCTGCCTTCTGTTTTCCCTCGGTCATAATCTCCAACCATCTTCTTGATGTGCGACAACTTACTCTTCAACTGCTTGCAATAATTCCTCTTATTTTTGTAATCTGCAGACTAAAAGAGAAAAAAAAATGAACCAGGTAAGTTTAACAAAATGAAAACGAGTCCTGTGTAGCTGCTGGGAAGGCAGGGGTCAACCCAAAAAAGGGGTCTATTAGTCATCAGAATTGTTGGGAGTGTGAAACAACATAACATACATAAGGCGCCTGGCAGTATCTCAAACCAGATAGGCAGCTGATTCTCTTTGCTGAACATCATATCTTCTAACCTGAGTTTTACAAAAGGATACACTAATTTCTAATGATTTGTAAAGTGACCAAAAAAACTTACTGGCCTTTTTGCTAACACATACATCATCTAAAAATTCAGTAAAACAACAAACTGGTGATATCAGTTGACTTGGGAAAAGGAAACTGGATAAATGGTGAATGAGACAGGAAAATTCACTCTACATGCTTTTAAACTCTTGCATTTAAAACCATAAT